GGGAACGTCCTCATACGGGAATCTAGTGATGACCGAGGACGGTCAGTATTATAGTGAGGGGGAGATGATACGGAGTGTAACAATACACCCGTAAAAATGCGAATTTTAGCGATTTCTCCTATAAAACCTCCTATAGTAGAAATACAGTCACATTGATCATAAGGATCGTTAGACGCAACCCGGTCTAGTCGATTAAAGTTTACATCCGAGAAATGTGCACGCCTTAGACAGTAGGAATTGTGGTCGGTTCGTGACCGAATCACCTCAATATACTCGAAGTCTAATAAAAGGCTACACTACCATGAAATAGTACGCTACCGAGTGTTCTAGAGTAAAAACACCCCCGCACAGGGTGTTGGAGTTTACACCAAACCAGGGTCTCACTTTATTATGGATTAAAAGATATTAATTCTAAAGATAAACGCGCGAGCATAGAAACTCGACGCGTACCTGACGCGAGAAGTCATTCGGTCACGTGCTACGAAGCATGATCCAAGAAGTCATGTGGAGAGACGCATCACGCGCATCACGCGCATCAACACATCACAAATCATGGCATCATTGACCCAAGAAAACTAAGCTTCGTGAAATATTCCGAAGTCTGCCAAAAGAGAAAAACTATGAACGATTTGCCGTGCGGTCCGAGGCCCGGGCATAGTATCTAATAATAGAGAGAAAATCACTAAGCGGACCGTTCGTCTCGGCTGAACCGATCGTGAAAACCGTTTACGGCGATTCCCGTGTACGCATCAAGACTGATGCGTCGCGTCGCCACAATAGAGAAAACACTACGAAAACTTAAAAGAAGCCAGCTCAGTTGTGCCACGCACAATCGAGCCACTTCAAACCTTTACTAAAAATTCAGTATTAATTCGTCCGACCTCTCGGACAACGCACGGACATATAAATATAAATAGAAGACATAGAATAGTATAAAAAGAGGACGCGCGCAGGCTGAAACGCAAGGAATTATCCCCCGCGTTGACCAGCTGTCGCACTCCCAGTAGCATCTGAGGTAGTGGATAAGTTTGTAATCAATTTAAGGACTTTTCTTCGCAGACATAAGTAACGTGTGCCCGGAACCAGTGTGTTAAGTGGGGATCACAAAGCTTTTGTAAGGTTGTCTCGTCAATTAGTAAGAGAGCTCTCTACTATTACCGAGGAATCCAAGTGAGCGTGCTTGAGGAGTCTTTAAGACTAGTTTGGACCGCATCAGAGGCATAATAAAACTCAAGGGAGTTATAAAAGTCTACAAAGCACAATTTCCTTGTCATTTCTTTGTATACAGTTAGAGCGCAATCCCAGAACACCGAGACAGTCCCAATAAAAGCCATTTCCCTTCGAAGACTACTAAAGTTTCGAATTCTACACTGTGTCCGCACGTAAAACAATACCTTTTGTTCCGAAAAGGTCTACTAGACTGG